AATTAGTAAGTAAAAAAATAAAACAACTATATATTTAGTGAATTTAATATATGAGTAAAAGTAAAATCATATATTAAATAATTATTTATACAAATCAACTCAATTATCAATTAACATTACATTAAAAAAAAAGATAATAAAAATATTACAAATTGAAAACAAAAGAAAATATGAATCACAAGCATATAATAATGATAATAAAAATATTACAAATTAATATATATATATATATATATTTGTATGTTTGTGTGTTTACATCAAATTGGATGGAGATGCTCTTAGACTTATTAAAAGTTCATTTAAGATCGGCTTATTATGTAAATAAGTCAAGATTAAACATAATTTAAGCTTATTAAATTTTCAAATCAAATTTAAACAATTTACTACTCAACCTTATAAGTTCATATGTACTATAAAAAAAAATCAAATTACTCGAGCTTGACTCGTATTCGGCTCGTTAAAAACTTGTTTGAGATCGACTCGTTATGTAAATAAATTAAACTTGAACATATTTTGAAATTTTGTTAAGTTCAAATCAAATTTGAACCACTTATTACTTGGTTCATTACACATCATTAAGTAAGAAAATTTATAATATTTGTTAATTTGTAAAACAGCACTATATAGTTTAAAAGAATTAAAAAAATCAAAATGTAGAACCCAAGAGACCAATGGAACTATGTAAATGGTAAGTTGGTGGGAAGCTAACAGCAGTACAAATGTTGTTTGGTTGGTTGCCTCTTTCAATTCAAAATCGTTCAGCTACCAATCACAAACTTAATATGTCACCATCAGAAGGATCTCAATTCCCAGCAAACAGTTCTATGTCCAATTATAGGCTATGGTTGATTGAGTTAGAAAAAATAGTTTTATACCATGATTTTTTGGAAAATTTAAGTTAGAATTTAAGTAGGACTCACAAATCATTTTTTACGAGTATGAGTGGTAAGGCGAAGGTTTCCATGTGGTGATTAAGAATATATAATCAGGTTTTTAAAATTATTTATGGATGAATAGAAAATCGACGCCAAAAGGGCACTGAAATTTTGCAAGGAGGGAAATTATAAACTAAAGTGGATTAAACCTAAAATTTCACATGCATCCCCCAAACCAAACAACTCTTTGTGCCAAATTTATTTTAATTTTGGTTTCAAACTTTTGTTGGAAATTTTGAATTTAAATTCTTCTGCAAACATGTATTTTCTTTTTTATTTGCTTTGATCAACAAATATATATATATATATATATATATATTTTTCTCAAAAGATTTATGGTATGACTTTTATTTTTATTTTTATTTTTAATTTTTGAAATTACTTTGAGAAACATAATACTCAAAACTCATCTAATCATATGCAGCCGACATAGCATTGATTCTTAACCGTTTAATCCATGCTTGAAAGTTACAACTTGTTAAATGCTCGATATCTAATCTACATAAATATAATCCTTCTTTCTTTTAAAATTAAGGTTGTGATTGAATTTAGTATTTATGGGGAAATGCTTCTACTTTATTTATGGGAATAATAATAGTAATTAAAAATGTGAGAGGATAAGAAACCCTCCCAAAAACTAAAAATAAAAACAAAGACTAAAAATAAAAACAAAGACAAACACATCAAAACGATAATAAAACAAGAAGGATCCAAAGACTTTCAGTGCATGCTTTTTCAAGGAAAAACATTATTAAGTAAACAAAATAAAAATAAATTCATAGTGGTGTCACATGAACCCACGGGTTGGGGAAAATAAAAGTGTCTTGTTATATTTAAATTATTGTTTTAGGAGAAAGTCTGCATATGTGAACCCACTGAGAAGGGACTTGAACCAACCAATGCAGGATATTATACTATATTAAATTAAGAGTAATGGTATATAAGAAAAAAAATATGTATAAAATTTCCATACAAAATAATGTGATATCTTATGATTTCTTCATTTACAATAAAAATATCTATCATTGCCCTCATTATGTTATAAATGTCATTACCGTGTTATTCTTGTTATAAATTTCATATAAAAATTATATAAGCATATCAGTTTTTATTTATTAATTTTGATATATTTGATTGGTTGATGTGTGGTTTTACCTAATGCGTTATGTGATCTTTTCTAATTATCATGAATAATTAGTACGTTTTTGGTTGTTGATACGTCTATTCCTTCCTCAATTGTTGAACATTTTTATTGCTCACAAGAGTGTTTAAGATTTCGTCCTGATTAATTTTCACTCAATAATTTTCAGATGACTACATGTATATATCACATTTTATTTACAATCTCATATGTCATAATCGGATTAAATAAATGGGCCATGCCATTAATATCTATTATCAATACAGTACACATGATATATGTGATGTATAAATATGGTACACAAACATAGTTATCATAACATTATTGATTTTTTTATTTTATTTAATTTTATTATTTAAATTTTAATAGATGTTTTATTTAATTATTATTATTTTTAAAAATAAATTTATTTAAAATTTTAATTAAAAAATAACATATATTTTTATTGATAATCATAATCATAAGATATTTTTATTATTAATCATAACCGTTTGTAGTGATTGATTATAAATTTCACATAAAAATTTTATTTAATAATTTTGCAAATATATTTGATTGGTTGATGTGTGGTTTTATATAATGCATTATGTGATCTTTTCTAATTATCATGAATAATTAGTGCCTTTGTGGTCGTCCATATGTCTATTACTTAATTGTTGAACATTTTTATTGCTCACAAGGGTGTTTAAGATTTTGTCCTAATTAATTTTCACACAATAATTTTAAGATGGCAACATTTGTATATCACTTTTTATTTACAATCTTATATGTCATAATTGGATTAAATGAATGGGCCATGCCATTAATGTCTATTATCAATACACTACACATGATACATGTGATGCATAAATGTGGTACACAAACATAGTTATCATAACATTATTGATTTTTTATTTTATTTAATTTTATTATATAGATATTTTATTTTAAAATTTTGTTTATATCTTATTTAATTTCATTAGTTAAATTTTAATAGATGTTTTATTTAATTTCACTATTTAATTATTATTATTTTTTTAAATAAATTTATTTAAAATTTTAATTAAAAAAATAACATATATTTTTATTGATATTTTATTTATTTAAAAACAAATTTATTTATTTTTAAAAAATAAACTTATTTAATTGTAAAAATAAAATAAAATAAATTTTTATTTAATCTAACTAAAAATAATTAAAATATTAAAGATATGTTTAATATTACTATTACTTAGTAAACAATTGAAAAAAAAGGTAAAATAGTCTTTTGCTCATTTATCCTATCTAGTTCGTCCAACTAAACATTGGATTCACTAAAAATAATCATTTTCAGACATCTAATCCCATGAGAAAACAAACACGAGATACATATTCAATCTAACTAAATAATCTGGGAGATTCACAGTCCCATGATTCAAGTCCGATGAATTCTAATTCCCTTATTCAGTCCGTCCAATCAAACACACCCCAAGAGGAATGAGAAGTGAAATACTAATTAATCATAAGAATTTTATTTTTTAAATGACGCCATTAACAAAATTTTTGAAGTCGCTCAAAATGGGTTATAAACGTAATAATATTGAGTTATAATCCATAGTGATGTTTAGTTATGACTCATAATGAATGTTTTTTTTTATTATAAATATAGTAAGGTTTGGTTATAACTCATAATAATGTTGAATATGCAGCAATTCAACAGTTCTTTTTTCTTTTTTTTTTCTTTAATCTAACAACAAAAAATTAAGATGCATATAGTATGTCCATCGCAGAAAACAAAAACCCACTACAAGGTAATCCAACAAAAATCTGTAATTCCCAGATCATATAAACAGCATTTCTACATTATGTGTCAACCACAATTCCCTTAGCTCTTATTTACCTTGTTTGAAACAAGTTATCTATATTGAATGGCAAATGCAAACAATTCAGTCAACAATAATTGCAAGATTTTCTGCATCAATGGTGATCTTCACAAAATAACTCGAAACACAAGTTTCATTTAGCTAAATAAATGAGTAAATAAAAATAAATAAAAAATAACCCAAATGCATTCCTACGGTGCTCACTCACAAAAGAATCAATAAGCAATAACTGTCAGCAATCCACATAGAAAAACCTACAGCTACTCTCAGTTGTCATCTCCAGAATTACAAAGCTGCACTTCCTCTTTCTTTTACAAATTCCTCATTTCAAGATTCAACAAATTCACAAGCATTCTGCAAGTAGAAGCGTATTATATACACATCAAACTTCACATTTAACTTCTAATAGGAACACAGTTGATGCTTATCCACCCAAAAAAGGCTCCCATGCTTATGCAATTTCATCCCATTACATTTATCCACTACCATATTATTGTCACCATAATTTTTCATATGACTGTAGACTCAACTCCCACATCTAGTAAATGAATGACATCTTCAACACTCATAACTTTCAAAAAATTCACATTTAACTTCTGACAGGAACGCAATTACTGTTCATAACATGGCATATTATGACCAGAGGCTCTGATGCTTCTGCAATTTTTTCTCATTTCATTTATCGCATACTATTCTTACTATAATTTTTCATATGATTGTAGACTCAACTCCCACATCCAGTAAATTTGTGGAATCAAAATTGATGACGTTACAAAAATTGACAGAACAAATTTATCAAACATTTTGGGGCCACCAAGCCTTGGTTCTGTTGACATTCAACTTAAATAAAAAAAGCTAAAAATAAAATTACTTCTATCATACGGCATAAAAATGTTCCAAGAATTGACAGAAAATAATAACATTTATTGATTCAAAATCACAAACCGCACATTACAGTCCTCTAATTCTTCTTCTCATCCCCTCTTCAACAACTTGGGCCCTGGATTAATGGGTTTTTAAATGACAATCTTGGAACCTGACCATAGCTTTTAGAACCTCCACCAACCTCCCACATCCAATGAATGAGTGGAATCAAAATTGATGACATTCCAAAAATTGACAGAACAGATTTATCAGTAAACATTGTGGGGCCACAAGCCAATTTCAATAAGAAAAGCCAAAAATGAAATTACTTCTATCACAGGGCATGATAATGTTCCAAGCATTGAAAGAAAATAATAAAATTTAGTATTGAATTCAAAATCACAAACTGCACAACACAGTTCACTAATTATTCTTCTCATCCTTCTTACCCCTCTTCAACAACTTAGGCCTTGGATTAATAGGTTTTAAGTGACAAGCTTGGAACCTAACCATAGCTTTTAGAACCTCCACCAACCTGTCCTCAATCTCAACCCCATTAGGCTCTAGAACATGCAACACTCGTGCAACAGCCTCCATTGTACTCATGCATCCGCTAAAGGGTTCCTTCCTAAGAATCAAATCCGAATCGAATATTGTCCCACCATCTATCCTAACATCATAGTCTAAACAAACCCGAATGGCAAACTTTGATAAAAATGGTAAACTTGCATGTAACATCTCCCTAGCATGCTTCCAGGTCCCATCAAAAGCAATCAAAACAGCATAATGATGTTCCAAGAATTGAAAGAAAATAATAAAATTTAGTATTGAATTCAAAATCACAAACCGCACAATACAGTTCACTAATTCTTCTTCTCATCCTCCTTACCCCTCTTCAACAACCTAGGCCTTGGATTAATAGGTTTTAAGTGACGAGCTTGGAACCTAACCATAGCTTTTAGAACCTCCACCAACCTGTCCTCAATCTCAACCCCATTACGCTCTAGAACATGCAACGCTCGTGCAACAGCCTCCATTGTACTCATGCATCCGCTAAAGGGTTCCTTCCTAAGAATCAAATCCGAATCGAATATTGTCCCACCATCTATCCTAACATCATAGTCTAAACAAACCCGAATGGCAAACTTTGATAAAAATGATAAACTTGCATGTACCATCTCCCTAGCATGCTTCCAGGTCCCATCAAAAGCAATCAAAACATAATTTCCTATGTACGAATCATTTAACGAAGATCGCCACTTGCTAATTTCAACTGCAGGTGATGAATCTATACCTGAGAAAGAGATAAATGCTTAAGAGCATAAAAGGGAGACCCACAACTATCAGTGTCAGACCCCCATTTATCAGATTATGTATAGGTGCTAAACTGATGTGCATATGCTTTTAACCAAACAATCCAGATTCCTTTCCATCACAAGGAAGTTCATGTAATATGCTTTGATTGGAACCAAATGGTTCATATGATTGAGTCAGTCAAAACTTGTGAACATAAACTCGCAAACAATTTGAGGGCACAACACAATTTAAGTGAGGAATGCTCTACAAACATAACTATCTCTATGGAATTCCAATATTCACATACACAAAGGGGGAACAAATGAATTATTTATCAATCAATTACACATTCTGTTGCATCCATGAGTACATTATTTCAGCATGCATACTATAGGTGATTTTATGAAAATATGACTTGGAAAGATTCAACCTTTAAACATTTAAAACTGCCAATTTCTTTACTCACTCAGCAGAATCTCATAGAAATCAAATCAAATTTCAAGTCACTCAGCTTAATTATCAACCAAATTCATACAGATCATTGAACTGCCCAAATTTTGAACTCTAAATGCACAGTTATGTTGTGTTTGGATCTTCAATTTGTGGATTAATTAGCGAAAAAGGAAAAAATGGATAAAATAGAAGCTATTTTTTTTTTTTTTTTTTCACAATTCCTTTTTTTTTACTTCTCTGACCATCCAACAAAGAAGGCTTCTCAAGGTTTATGAAGTGAAACCTTGGTAAAATGTACTCTAAGTGGAAACATATCAGCCTTGCTGACTTTGAAAAGGTATTCAAACTTTTCTATACTCTCATAACACAAATCTATTCAACACTCCTTTTGTAACGCCCTCAAAATATTATACAAATCAACCATTCATAAGGTCTAGAGATATAATAGAAATGTTATACTTTCATTCATCAGAGTTAATATTACAAAAGATATCACATGCATTACACTTTCATAAATATCCATCTTGAAACCATAGCATGTAACTCTAGTTTAGAACAACAAAATAAATGCCCTAAAGGCTTACATCTTTCCAAGTAATCATTTGGTTACAACAATAGAGAGAGTCAGAAACTCTTTACAATTAAAGCCCTCGGCTTAAAAGAAGACATACAAACACAAAAATGAAATCACAAAAGTAGAGGGTATGTTTGGTTTGTGTTTGAGGATCTCTATCTCCTCCCAAACAAAGATACATATAGAATGTAATCAAACACTTGTAGGTGTGATATGTATCGCCCTCAAAATATTATACAAATCAACCATTCATAAGGTCTAGAGACGTAATAAAAATGTTATACTTTCATTCATCAGAGTTAATATTACAAAAGATATCACATGCATTACACTTTCATAAATATCCATCTTGAAACCATAGCATGTAACTCTAATTGAGAACAGTAAAATAAATGCCCTAAGGGCTTACATCTTTCCAAGACTTCGCTTGGTTACAATAAAAGAAGAGTATTGTCTCTATACAAGTAAAGCTCTCGTCTTGAATAAACATTCAACACAAAAAGGAAATCACAAAAGTGGAGCCTTTAGCCTCTAAGCCTCCCAAGCTATGTCCTTGGAGGTGGCATGTCACCTGTACCTGAAAATAGTTTTCCAAGTAGGGTGAGCCAAAGCCCAGTAGAGATATGCTAAACCATACATGAGAAACCAAAGCAAACCAAACCAAGCCTTAAATTCCATCAAATGAGGTCGGTTACATGAATCCTTTTTCTCCACGTGACCCTATCACTTAGTAGCAGGAATCGTCTCAGATGGCGACGACTCCGAGGAAAAAGCACGATTTTGCGCTTCTGAAGAAAAATCGCAGCAGAATCGCGAATCTGAGGAGAGGGAAACGTGAATTTGATGCGAGAAGAGAGCACTATTGAGAGGGCAAGGAGAGTACCTGCTCTGTTCGACGACTTCGATCTCGCTGTTTGACTTCCCCGTCGAAGCCCTACTCTTCGTCCCTCTCTTCGAAGCCCTAGGTCTTCGTCTCTCTCTCTCTCTCTTCTCTCACCCTCGATCTCCTCTTCGTCTCTGCTTCTCTCTTTCTTCATCTCTGTTGCGCCTCTTGCTTCTCCCTCTCTCGATCTATTATGTTCTCTCTCTCTCTCTCTCCGTTTTCATTGTTTTATAAACATATAATTTATCATATAATATATATATATAATATAATTTATAAATTATAAATTATAAATTATAATATAATTTATCATAAACAATATAATTTTTATTTATTATTTATTTTTTTAACAATTATTTCTTAACTTTTTAACATATAATAAATTATCTAATTGTTTAAAAGAAATCTATTTAAATCATATATAATAAAAAAATCTTCAAAAATTTATAAAATAAAACATCTAATTTTTATTTATTATTTATTTTAACATAATTTATTATTCATTATAATAAATAAAATATAATTAATAAAAATAATACATAAACGCTCCTAATTTACGACTCCTCTAAGTGGCCACGTTCCCCCGCTCCCGCTCCCGCCCCCGCTCCCGCTTCGTGCAACTAAGGGGTGAATTACAATACAGGGTGTAGGACCAAAAAAAAAAAATTAACAGAACATGGGAGGGTGCAACTCATTTTCTGATGGGCTGCAACTCAAACACTGGAGAGTTGCACCCCTCCATTTTGTGTAAATTTTTTTTTCCTGTCCCACTGTTCGGTGATTCCCCCAATAATAAATAGTGAAGCACAATTGAGGCACCTGTAAATTGGGCACAAGCCTAAAGAAGCATCAACTCCAGCCCGGCCAAAAAAAAATGGAAAAAAAAAAAAAAAAAAAGACTAAATAAATCAAACATAAAGGAAAAGGAATGAACAAGTTGGAGAAACCCTGGACACTCCGGCCAACTTAATTCTCAATGGAGTCCATCCCCTATCTCTTCTCACACAACAGAGTACATCCCCTAACTCCTCCTAAACAATGATACATATACAATGTATTTAAACACGTTGTCATATACAATGACTAATCAAATCGCATATTCAGTAGTTTAATCAAACCGTTATATTCTATGACATAATTCATATGACTAGTTTCAATTTACCTAGTCCTCATGTAGTTTCTACAACAATCACAGCTATCCTCCACCGATAGCCCAAAATAGATATTTCTAAACAGATAAGTAAATCTATCAATAGATAATTTATCAACTTTTTTCATAGGTGTGTGATTTATCAAACCAAACTACACCATTCAATCACATTTCTCCCAATTTCACAATTCTCAAACCAATTTCGTTATTTACATAAATAGTTATTTCAACTCAACTTAGGGCAAAATTTCTCTTTTTTTCCAAAATATCAACCCATAGGTCCAAATCTCACCACTTTAGCAATAAAGAACCTCATACACAAACCCCCAAGGTTACTTTGTAAATCAACATGAAAAACCCCCTTTAGTTTAGAACCCAAACCTTAACTTATACCAAAATCTTCCCAAACCCCACCATTTATACAAAATGACAAATATCTAGGTTAAAGCTCATATTAAAGAGTAGAATATCCCTACCTCAAGCTTAGATGAGAGAGAGAAGAGAAAGCTCAAAAGTCAATGGCGACGGAACCATGTTTTGCCCCGATCAAAACGAAGCCCTTAACAAGCTCTACATTTCATCTTAAAGGAGCAAGGTGAAAAGATTACTCCAGGTGAGTAGATCTAGAGATTTAAGTGAAAAAGTTTGGGTTTTAGAGATAGAAGAGAGAAATCACGGTTTAAAAGGAAAAAGGGAAGGAAAATCATGGGAGAAAAATGGTTTGGGCCTATTTATAATAGTGAGGAAAAGCCCTAAGGTCAAATAAAATAATGGGCCCAAAAACCCCCTTAGATAGGGCCCATTCGGACCTCAAAAATCTGAAAAAAACACGCAGGATCGACCCTTAGACAGGAGGGGGTCGACCATATCTTCCAGCAACCAACACACAGACATAAGAAGGTCAACCCTCTCCCAGTCTTGCGTCTATCCTATCTTCCAGCAACTAACACACAGACATAAGAGGGTCAACCCTCTCGAGTCTGGTGTCTACCCTATTTTCCAACAACACTCCCAGAAACTTCACCAACAAGTAAGGGTTGACCCTTAGGAAGGCTGGTGTCAACCCTAGAATAGAATTTCTAAGTCTCCAAGGAACTTTTGACAAGAATAAGTACGAACAATCAAACCCAACAAGTTTAAATCGGATTATACTCTTCCAAAACCACCGTACAACAACACTAAAGATTTCCAAAATAAAAATAAAGGATTCGAATACACTTCCCCAAAAGCTTTGAAAGATACAAGTGCTACAACCTCCCCACTTTAGGAAATTTCGTTCCCGAAATTTTAGTACAAGTTTCAAAACCATGATTACCCAATTTTCAAATGATTACAATTCAATTCTCATTACCATGACCCACCTACCGGTCATCCAATCCTTCCACAAAAGAACAATTCCACAATAGATACATCTCAACAAATATTATCAATATGAATCTTCCGAATTTAACCAATTTCAATACGAGCATCTCATATTTCCAAAATATATTCAATATTTATGATAAATTTGCATTTCCAAGAGTTAAACAACATATACAATGTTCAAATTAAACTTGCGTTTCCGAAACATATTCAACATTCACAACATATACAATGTTTCCAAATGTGATACAGCACATACTATATTCCATATTCCTAAAACATATACAATGCTTATATTGAATCCATGTTTCCAAGACATCCACAACATATACAATGTTTTAACATTTCATTAACAAACTAAAATCTGGACATATGTTCAAATACCAACGAATAAGTCCGAATATTTCTCACGGATTTCTAATTCACGCTCCCAAGTAGCTTCCTCAATCTCGAGATGTTTCCATGATGCCGTAACTAATAGAATCATCTTGCTTCACAAGACTCGACTCAACAACAAGGTACGAATATGATTACCTCTCCAACCGGCCAAACTCGCAGCGGTTTATAAGACAAGAA